CATGCCAGGCGAGCGTGCTACCGCTTGAGCCACATCCCAGCCCCTCACTTCTACATTTTTATATATAGTTTTATGTGAGTTGTGATATATCAGTATTTCTTTATTTGGGGGATACACACAAGTAGTTTACACTTTTTATTTTTATTTCACACATAGCAGTAGGATTTATTTTGACATAGTTATAAATGCATGGAGTACAGTTTGCTTCAATTACACTTATCCTTCCCCATTTCCCTCCGACTGTTCTCTTTTCTCTTTTTTTCTGATATTTCTATTTATTTATATGTTTTAAAAATTAGTGTCTTGTTTATATACATGATGAAGTTTGCGTCTTTTGGAACAATGCTTTAGTGATCCCCTAAAGCCTTATTTACCCACCATGCCTCAACTAAAACCTGTGGGCACTGGAAGAACCAATTTCCCATTCCTCCCAGAAATTGAAAAGCTTGAAAGTTTTTTCCTTTGATTCCTTTTTGGTCATACCAATATCTTAAGAGGAAAATTAGTATCAATTACTCATACTTAAATATACCCACCCACTAGATGAGTCATTCTCCTTTAGATCCTGTAAAAGAAAAGGGATCTACATGAGTTTGAGTTGGTATAGCTTCATGGTAGAGCACTTGCCTAGCATGCAGAACGCCATGGATTTGATCACCAGCAACACACACATACATGTACACACAAATGAATGTCACTAATTTCCATATAAATATGTGAAAGAATTGCATAACTTCCCAGACTTTCCTCTTTTCACTCCTCTCGAACAGCTTCTCCTTCAGGCTCTATTTGGAACAGGGTTTATAAAAATGAGTTATTAATGTACTCTCCAAATAGAATGTAGGTAACATATCCCTTTTATGCCTTAAGCATAAAAACTAGTTGTCAAATTCAAGGAAATAAATCCTACTGGACACATATATGATCAGACTTAACATGTTTACAATAAAATTGTCTAAAATTGTTCTATTATCTCTGTATCATAAGATATAGAAATTACAATTCATTACAACTTATGACTTCCTCTAATGGCAATGAATTTTCTTATGTGTCCAATAATTTTTTGTTTGTGAGCTCACTTATAATTTTTTCTACTAGAAATATCTTTTGTTTTCTACTGTTGATAGTTTTTTTATTAGTCCTTTTATTTATTTCTACCAGGATCCTAGAGATTTTATCATCATGTGTGATATAAGTTTGAGTTTCATTTTCTAATGGGAGGATCCTTATTTTCCTATTGAGAATCTAAAGATTTATCAGCCTCCTTGCTAATTTCTTACAGTGAGTAGGGGTTTTCTAGTTCTTGTATTCAAGATGAGTAGCATACTACTTTATTTTTTTTCCATCTCTGTGGCATGCAGATTGCCTCATTTCATATCCCAAGTTAGTGTTAAATACCCCAGCTTCTATGGAATGTATCCTGTTTTGATAAGCCAGTATTATGTTAAGCTTGGTTTCCCACTATTTACACTTCTTTTCTCCTGACACTTGAGTTTTTCTGAAACAAGTTTTATAGATGAGCTTTGAATTTCAAAAGTTTCCTTTATATTTAACCCATCATTTCAATATGACTGAAATAGGGTGTGAGGTTGTTACCACATCAGCTCCATGTACTATTTTGAAAGGAAATTTGCTTTATAATTTCTACTTTCCTTAAAGGCCACTTAGAATTCTGTGATTTCAAAGTAATTTTAAGTTCCAAACTGTTAAGTTTAACAGTTATTCTAAGTGGCTTTTAGCTCCAAGTTTGGTTTGGGGACTATATTTTATTTTGTAAAGGTGACCTGTAAAGCTGGTACATTCAGCCTCTCCAGCTGTGTCCTTCAGATGCACTGAGGACAGAAGAGGCCATCCATCGTGATGGTTAAATCAGCAAGATAGTTCATTACCTCTGTCTGCACCAAAGTTAATAAGACACATTACCAATTGCATCCTCTTATCTTTAAAGTTCTAAGGTACCCCTGGGTATTTAAGGAGATATTTATATTTTCCCACTGGGATCTTTGCCCAGAAGGAAGACAGCCTGCAGTCCAGCAAGAGCTGGAAATGACCCAGATTTAAGATTTCTATCACCTTTTAAAGCAAAATACTTAATTATACTATTTGTGATTAAACTATTTATAAAATACCAAGCACATAAGGAAAAGTGGGAGGCTTATAGGACCTCTTAGAATGATATTTGTCATCAGAAGAAATAGAATATCCTCCATCATTTGTCAGAGCTAAGAACAAAGGAGAAATATGGGAAAACTGAGTTTTATTTTTTTTCCTGAAATCAAAATTTCCTTTCTAAGCTTGTATTTTGGTGGTCCCAGCCCACTGAGAGCAAGTGGTGATGATTATACTACTATAAATACAGTATTTATAGGTTTACTCAAAATTTACAATACAAATGCTACTAGAAAATGACTGATTTAATATTTAATATTTATTCTCTCTTAGCTGTCTGTCTTTTCATCAAAAGATATAATCATAATCTAGAAATATGTCTATATCATTCCTTTGCAATCTTGATATTGTTCTCTTTTGATTTTCTGATAATTATAAAATGGCAACCTGTGATATATAGGTTACTATGATTTGATATGTCCATCTATTTTGTTCTGTTCATTACCTCAGTGTGCTCCAAAGTTCTAAGGTACCCTTAGGTATTTAAAGAAATATGTAAGCTTATAACCCTTAATGTCCCTTTATCTTTTAATCAGAGATAGAATATCCTACATCATTTGTTGGTATTTTTAATATTTTTATTTGTGCATTATAATAGTTGCAGTTGTTTTTCTTTATATTTGAGGCTGTATTTTCAATTTCTTTATGAGTTATCTTCTGATGATTATAAGGTATTAATTTTTATGTAGTCAAATGTATATATCTCTTTTCTTATACTCATTTTTACAAAATGTTTTATTTAAAATGTCCTTTCATATCCCCCAAGTCAGAAAGATCCTTTTCTATATCTTTTAGAAATATGAATTTCTTCTCCTGATTAAGTATGTATACAAGTCAATTTTACAATATCTATCAAAGGCCCATTTCACAGGAATTATACCTGTAAAATAGTAGTTGTATTTTGTGATAATATACCTCAAGGAAATAATAAAAATATTTTAAAAAATGTATATTCATGAGCTATTCACTCTACATTTATAAAAATAAGCAAAACTAAAAGTCAAACTACCCAATAAATATCTATTGTAATGGAAACAAAGATATAACCATTGAAATGAAGTCTTAGATTTTCATTAAAAACATGGCTTCCTGCTAAAATGAAACAATAAGATATAATAGTGAAATGAGAACTAGAGTTAATTCTGTGTTTTAATTTTAAATATCAAATTATCAATAGACCATAAAGTTTAGAAGAGATCAAAACAATGATAATGATTGATGTTTCAGAAATTGGGGCTTTCATATTCATTTTTACATATTTTTTAAATTTTTTAATTCCCAGGCTTTAATGTTGGTGAATATAATATTTTAAAATGGAAATCTCTTGATCTTGAATTTATTCATGTGATAAAATGTTTCCTTAATGACTTATAATTACAGAGACTTTAGATGTTCAGAGTAACTACTTGTACTTTAAATTATTACTGCAAAGGGAAGGTGAAATATATAAAGTAAATGTTATACTTTGAGAAATTTCAATGATGGAATGACAGCTTCATGTTCACTTTCCTACCAAATTATTTTATCTCTGATATGTGTTTCTTTCTTAGGAAGTTTGGGCATGTTGGCATGAGTTATTGTCATACTTGGAGAAGGCAAACAAGTGGCTAAATGAAGTAGAATCAAAACTTAAAACTACTGAAAATATTCCTGGTGGAGCTGAGGAACTCTCTGAGGTCCTAGAAGTAAGTTGTAACATAATACATGATGATAATTTATATGCAGTATTGAAAGAGGATGATAATTTGTATGCAGTATTGCAAGAGGTCAGGTATCAAACAATTAGAAGAATGTAGTTTCTATGTATCACTCAGTGATACTGTTGATATAGCCTTTTTCTCTCTCTAAGATCCTTCCAGGTCTCAAGGTTTACAAAAAAGGGTCTAAATTATTTTTACAAAGTACTCTTTCTTTGTCTTATAACACTGAATTCTATATAGACATTTTATCTGCTTAAGTCTACTACAGACCTCTAAAGACAGTGAATGTACAATTATGCTTTTTTGGAGTAGACCTAAACAGTATGAAAGTATGAGACATAAATTCCACTTTGAAATCTACATGAATTGAATTACATCAACACTTTAAAATATTCAAATTTAATTTCTAGGAATTTTTACAGCTTAGAGAATATGTTTTCTGGTAGTAAATGGACATGCATTGTTACTATGAATACCTTTAAAATGTTCAAAAATTTTAGTAAATCTTCAAGTTTTACTTTGGAAATTTGTATTAAGTGAATTTCAAAAGGTTTGCAAGGATAAAATTTGAGTTGTGTTAACTTCTAATATTTAACCATTCATGCTCTATGCATTTTACAATGCTTTTGGCTTATCATTTACATGTAATGAATATGTATTTTAGCATTTGTAATACCTATAGAATTATATGAATAGTGTAGCCCCTGTGTAAGTCTACAAATTAGACCTAAATTATCTGAGATGTGAACAAAGTGTGAAATACTTTTTTAGATAGACTAGAATTAGAATCTTAAATATCAGGGCAGATAATTTTATCCATTTTCCTTTTTTTCCCAAGAGAATTATAAGACCTGAATAAGTATCAAGAACCATGAGGACAGTCACAAGTAGACTATAATTTTGGCCCTGTCCTATTCTAAGATATTCATGGAGCAAACATTTCTTGTGAAATAACAATGTGATTTATCTTCCAGAAAAGATGAAACCAACTTAAGTGATGTACTAAAACTCTAGGGCATGTTAAGGAATGAATAATGAGAAAAAGGTAGAAAACCTGAGGCAATACCAGAGAATATTTAGAAAAGGAAGTAGGGGAAAGGCTTATTATTACTATTTACAATTCTGTTTGCTAAAGTAGACTGACAGTGTTGCTACTAATCATTCAGGAAGACATTTTTGAGTAACACAGGCTAGACTATCAATTGTCAAGAATACAAAAACTGTATGAACTTTTGGCTAGGCATGGTGGCACATGCTTGTAATCCCAGTGGCTTGGGAGGCTGAGGCAGGAGGATCATGAGTTCAAAGCCAGCCTCAGCAAAAGAGGTGCTAATCAACTCAATGAGACCATGTCTCTAAATAAAATACAAAATAGGACTAGGGATATGGCTCAGTGATTAAGTGTCCCTGGGTTCAATCCCTGGACTCCCCCCCCCCACAAAAATAAACTGTATGACTTCTAAATTTCCTTAATCCTTAAGAATTCTATAATTGATTCCTTAATTTTGCTTTATTTTTTGTAGTTCCCTTTTTAAATTAACAGCCTATGGATTTCATTAGGACATAGAAGAAGAAATGTGTCTATGAAAATAAATATCTGCAAAGTTAATGTGTGTTAGAAGTAATAAAATGTTTAAATTACAAAGAAAATTACTGATAAAAATATTTTTATACTAAAAATATGTCTTTTTAAGTGTTTTGGAAGTCATAGTTATATTTTTTACAAAATCATTCAGAAAGTCTCTATTATTTACATTTCCTTAAATTTATCAGGAAAATATGTTGAGATTCCTCAGAATTTGAGAAAAATATAGAAGTTACAAATATGTATTAGAACATTTCAATTTTTTAGCATAAGCAAAAAATAGCATTGAATGAATTGATGAAAACATGTCCATCCTTTATTTTATAAATATTTTTGACACCTAGTAAGACAATATTGAATCTATTGTTTTCTCATAGACCTAAAGTTGGCACTGTGGTTGTTTTTTCCCTGTAAATCTAGCCAGACAACTTTTTTTGGTTTTAAATAGTATGTCAGTTCATTATTGGTGGGCCGCTGTAAATAACAGAAAATAAGGCAATGACTAAAGCTCAAACATTTTTTTTTCTTCACAAAAAGATTTACTAGAGGAAAGTTATACAGAGATGATAATGGTTCAACCATATGATGAGGCACCCAGGTACTCTTTCTTTTATGATCCCTTACTCAGCATGAGGAACCATATCATTTTTATCTGCTACTCAGCAGGTGGCTACTTTACCTACAGGCTGTGTGTATGTATAAAAACATGTGAAAAGCAAAAGCATTTTTTTTCTTCCTCTTTCTTCTCTCCTCCAATCCTGTCTTTTCTTTCCTTAAATATTACAGATTAAATCCAGCAGCAATCACTCTACCACTCAACCACGACCTCAAACATTTATTTTTTTTTATTTCGAGAAATCTTGAACTTAAGTCTTCCAGCATCAACTTCCTAAGCAGTCATTTGCCATGGCTCCTGGCAGGGATTTCTTGAGATAATGTTCTTTCTTTCTTTTCCTTCCTTCCTTCCTTTCTTCCTTCCTCTCTTTCTCTCTTTCTCTTTCTCCCTCCCTCCCTCCCTTCCTTCCTTCCTTCCTTCCTTCCTTCCTTCCTTCCTTCCTTCCTTCCTTCCTTCCTTCCTTCCTTCTTTCCTTCCTTCCTTTCTTTTGAATTTGAGGAGAGGAACTCTATTCTTGAGCTTCTACCTACATAGATTTTTAGAATGATGTCACTTGCATACCACTATGTATAATAGAAGTTAAGAAAGTGAATATTTTATCTTTCCAGGATTTAGACTAAAAGATATCTTAAAGAAGGTAAATCATTTTTAAGTGTTCAGTTCATAATGCTATCATAACCCCATAAAAAATCATGGATTAACACTATTTTTTGAAGCAATAGTGTTCCTTCTTATTTGATTATCCCAATTAAATTTCACTTTAAAATGCTTTTGGCTTAATTATATATAAATCAGAAATGTTGAGCATTTTTTGTTAATTAAACGTATTTGGAAAGAGAAGAGAAATATTAATTATTGCAAATGTATTTCAGTCTCTTGAGAATTTGATGCAACATTCAGAAGATAACCCGAATCAGATTCGCATATTGGCACAGACCCTAACAGATGGTGGTGTCATGGATGAACTGATCAATGAGGAACTTGAGACTTTTAATTCTCGTTGGAGGGAACTACATGAAGAGGTATGAAGATAAGTGAAAAATATCTTTAATCTTATTTTCACAAATGTATAGCAGATATAGAAGTCTCGGATAAAATGAGGAATAGTTTCAGTACTAGCTCAACTCCCAGGTGTTTGAGCAGCACCAGAATCTGACTGAGTTCTTTACACTTGTATATTATAATTTATCTTCATTTCTGTAGGATTTTTTAAACAGGAAACTGAGATATACCAAGAACAGTACCATACTAAAGACTACAAAGTAATGAATAATCCAGTATTGATACCAGTCTTGGAAATCAGGATCCGGTCCTCATTCACCCTGTGTTGAAGATTAAACACCCAAGAAACACCTAGGCAAGAGTAGAAGCAAGTTTCATTAAAGATAGAGACAGAGATAGACTTCTTTGGAGAGAAGGAGCCCCAGAGCTGGAATCCACAGAAGTGGATGTGTCTTGCCTTTTTATAGATCTTAGATTTCCTCTCCACTCCACCACCTCTCTTTTTCTTGCCTATGTGAAGGTAGGAAAATAGCAATCCAGAGCATGTTCATTTGCAGCTCCTTACATTGGGAAGTATGAATCTCCCAGATCTTTGGAGGTGTGTTAGCATTGCAGGTGGGAAATAAAATCCTGAGGTTAGCTGTTAGCAAACTATTTCCTTTCTTTGATAATGAGCTACCTGTCCTTTGCCCCTGTCTCAGTATTCAAGTCAGATATTATCTGAATCAGACTTGATTTCCTTACCCAAGAATACCAATATGGATTGTTAGTCTTTATATGCTCCTCTGTCTCTTTTACACAAAACCCCATACACATTTGTTATACTCACATATAATCTCTTAATAATACATATGATTCCATTAGGACCCTGGATATTGTTTGTTCCTCCCAAATAACACAACAACTTTTTATATATAAAATAAATTTTCATATTTCTGAATTCACATACATATGCATAACTTTTCAAATCAAACTTAACATATTTCTCCTAATCAAATACTGTTTTCATACTCTTTCATAAATAAAAAATGGATTTTAAAAATAACCTGTTTCATCATGATGTTTAGTTTCATATCTATTTACTGAGAGCATCTACTATATGTGAGATACTGTTCAACACCTTGGCTAATACATAAGAAAAAATTATCCAGCATAATTTATAGATTGATTGTTTAAGCCAAAATTCATTGATTTCCTATTGTGTGCAGGACATAATCAATACTATCCAGATAGAATGTGAAGGGGAAAACAGAGACTAAGTGCAGTGGTCACTAGGGAGACCTTCAGGAACCCTTTTGATATTTAAATAGAGAAGTTTTACATGTTTTAAACTAGAAGAAAAGTCCTGAATAGGACCTCTTCTCTCTCATATCCTGAAGAGAATTAGCTGACAGTAAAATAGATCTGTATAGGTGTGGTAGGAACAGCCTCCAGGTTTTAATCCTGCCATTGTATTCCAGTAAGTAGTTTATCCATATGAACATAAAGGAGTGAACATTGGAAAGGATAAATTTGAAACAATTCATTGTTTGTTCCTTGTTATTCTGTTACTGAATGTGAGTCAAAGTAGATATTCCTAGGTGGTAACTAAATTGATGGTAATTTAAATTTGGATTTTGCTCTAGAGTTATAATATTCTTTTATTTATATTTGTATATTATTTTCAGCTAAGAAGTTATAGTTCAAGTTAAAAAAATCAGAAATCCCATCATGAAACTGGCTTTGGCTAAGGTCCAACTTTAGGAATACCCCATTCCCTAATCAGATCTTGGCATAAGCCTTATTCATAAAATAATTTTATAACCATTTATAAACATAAACTACTTATGGCCTTTTATTTCAAAGGTCTTTGATATGAAACCAACATAAGTCCATGCTAAGCATCTATAATCTGAAATCCAAAATGTTCCAAATTCACAATTTTTTATTAGAGCTTTATGGTTATACATAGTAATTGACTTATTTTTTTGCTGATCCTTTTTGAAAAAATTGAACCTGATTTTATATGATGAGATGCAGGCACACTATAACTGTATAAAATTACTTTCAAGTTATGTGTGTAGAGTGTATATGAAATTAATAATTTTGTGTATGGAGCAATCCCCACAATATCTCATTAGGTGCAAATATTCTAAAATCCAAAGAAATCTAAAATTTAAAATATTTCTTCTCTCAAGCATTTTGGGTAAGGCATACTCAACTTGTGATAATTCAACTAAGGACACTTTGATAGAATAGCTTCTCTACCATAATACTGTACTGCATTGCTAAACTATGAAATTTTGAATAAGAAAAACTTAGATAGGAATAATCCCTGGAATCAGTCAGGGTGCAGAAAGGGCACCAAAATTACATCATCAATTAAAAAGGAAAGATTTCCTAAAGAAGTATTAGCTGTTTACTGGGAATTAATTATTGTGTGTGTGCGTGTGTGTGTGTGTGTGTGTGTGTGTGTAACAGCTTTTTTCATAATTCTTAAGAACAATGAAAGAGAACTCTAAAGAATGTCCTGGTATGGGTGCATAAGCATGTACATGCACACGCGCACACACACACATACACACATACACACACACACAATGCCCTGGGAATAAGGGATAGTATCAAAGGAAGGAACTGAGTGGAAAAGGGAGGATCTCTACCCAAAACTATATTCAAACCTCTTTGTTAAGCCTATTTCTGGGATCCATAAGATGGCAATAGAGTTTGCTGCCAAGAGCTAATTTGTAGTTAGGGTGCTCAAGTTACTATGAATGGACTAATGGGATTGGGTGCTGACAAAATTTATATGAAAGTAGCTTGTAATGGATGTTATTGTTTTTTATTTTTATTTATTTATTTTTTAATCAGACACAATACCTTTATTTTATTTGTTTATTTTTATGTGATGCTGAACATTGAACCCAGTGCCTCACACATGCTAGGGAAGCATTCTACCACTAAGCTACAACCTCAGTCTTCTTACTTACTGTTTTTTTTTAAGAGAGAGAGAGAGAGGAGAGAGAGAGAGAGAGAGAATTTTTAATATTTATTTTTTTAGTTCTCGGCAGACACAACATCTTTGTTGGTATGTGGTGCTGAGGATCGAACCCGGGCCGCACGCATGCCAGGCAAGCGTGCTACCGCTTGAGCCACATCCCCAGCCCTGTTTTGTTTTTTGAGAAGCTGGTTGTTTTACACATTAAACTCCTTAGGAAACTACCTGTAGTGGTTGCTTCTGAACTTGGGAGACCAGATGGGACTCCAGGAAGCTCCCTATGGATTTGCTACCCATGTTGAATTCACCACTGGAGCACCCATACAACATGCCAAATTCTACCTTTTCCACAGGCTAACCAGAGTCACAGGTATGAAATGTAAAAGCACACTGGAACATAAGAAAATTAACCTCCTCTATTTTCGCTCCAATGTTTTCTACTGAGAAAGCTTAACAACATGCCAACTGGCTAAGGGAAAAATATTTCAGTATCAAAAACAGGACAATATTGGCCTGGGGCTATGGCTCAGCAGTAGTGCACTTGCCTGGCATATGTGAGACACTAGGTATGCTGCTTAGCACTGCATATAAATAAATAAAATAAAAGTCTATCAACAACTAAAAAATATTTTTTAAAACAGGACAATATTGAAAGATAATTCATTTATAACTGACACATTCCCCTGTAATTTATTTGCTATGTGTCCTTGGGTAGTATTTCAAGGTTTCTACATCCTCATCTGTAATAATATATCCTGTTACTTAGGATTCTTGTGAGAAAAATATAAAATACTACATTCAAAGTGCTTATTATTATTCTAGGAACATAGTTAATAGTCAATAAATGATTAGAACTTTTATTTTGACTAGGTCGTATTCTAGAGTACCTATTCTCTAGAAATGTGGGCATATACAAAACAATGTATATATACCATTAAGAACAAGAATAGGCAAACAATTATATAAATTCTAATATGAAATATAATTAAATTGAACATATTTCCATTAACTAAATGTTTCCAGAACAGGATCAAGCATAATTTATTTCTTAAGGAGGCAGGAAGTTATTGTGAAAATGTTGAAGGCATAAGCACAGACTCAGAAAGTTAGTGTTTTTCATTTTTTAAACTATTAAGCTTTTGCTGGGATTCATGGTACCTGCCTGTAATACTAGTTGCTCAGGAGCCTGAGACTGGAGGATCAGAAGTTCAAGGCTAGTTTCAGCAATTTAGTGAGACTCTGTCTCAAAATAAAAAATAAAAATAAAATGAGCTGGAGATATAGCTTAGTGTTAAATTGACACTGGGTTCAATATCTGGTATCCCCCCAAAAAATAAAAAAAAATGAATTTTTTTTGAGTGATAAAAAAGAAAAGGAAAGCAAAAAGAAATGAATCAGATAGGGAAAAAAGAATTTATCATTCTCCTAAATCTTAAAATTGAAAGGAGTTCTCTAGCTCTACTTCAATGATCACTTAAGCAGAATGCAATAACAGCAATAAATAAAACCTGAATGAATAGAATTGAAACTGTCTTGGCTATGCTTATATAGATATTTGATCAATACTAATCTGAGAGTTATTTGGCAATAAAAACAACTTTTGAGATTAGAGTGGATTAGGATGGGCTCTAAATCACATGACTGGAATTCTTAAGAGGGCCAGGTAAAGACAGAGGCACACGAAGGGAAGAGGGCATGTGAAGACAGTGGCAGAAACTGGAGTGATGCAGCTACAAGCCAAGGACTGCCAAGGACTGTTGGGAGCCAACAGTGCCAAGGAAGAAGTAGGGAAGGATCCTTCCCTAGGTTTAGAGGGAATGTAAGTCCATTCAGTTTTGACACTTTGATCTTGGATTTCTAGATTTCAGGACTGACAGAATGGTTTCTGCTATGTTAAGCCAGCCCCTTGTGGTACTGTGTTAAGAAAATTCTTGAAAACTAACATGAAGTTTCTTTTTAGGGGTGATGAGAATGTTCTAGGGTGGATAGTTGCATGACTCAGTGGATATTCTAAAAATTACTAAATTATATACTTTAAGTTGG